TTTGAATGCAAACTCACCAGGCTGCGAATGGAGTCCAGAGTAGAGAGATCCACCTTCAGGTGGTCACATCCTCAGCACCACAAACAAAGCCCAGCAAAGCCCACAAGCTCACTGGATTTGAGGATGTGCTGTCTGAAGGAACCTGCTCAACTATGGACACATAGGTATACAGACGTGTGTTACTTTTTCTCTTATATTCTTATTGAAGACGCATGTCAAAGTCTTTTAGACTCCAAAGGGTAAAGGGACAATGCAGAGGATGTGTTTAAAAAGCAGTACTGGAGTGCAGCCACATAGACTTCCTACCCACTCTGCTTCTGGAATGCTGTGTCTTGTGGGGGAAAAGCACAACCAACGTGTGTGTCCCAGTCCATGTAAGAGAGAGTTAAACAAGTCAAAGAGAACTAAAAAGGCAATGCACAAACTATAAGCTGTTTGTTACCAAGAGAAGGACAGCCAGAATAAAATTCTCTGTCTTCCACATGTGCGGTTCTAGGAGACACTAAACACTGCTACGTAGAATTGCTGCTCTTGGAGGAAGCTGAAGTGCTTGGGCAGGTGTAGCTAGAGTTTTCCTGCCTTGCCCACAGACAGGACAAATCTTTGTCACCTACCAGTCCCACAGCCGCTCAGACCCAACCAAGTAAATACAGAGACTTATATTGCTTACAAACTGTATGGCCATGGCAGGCTTCTTAACTGTTCTTATAGCTTAAATTAATCCATTTCCATAAATCTATACCTTGCCACACCACATGGCTTGTGGCTTACCGGCGTCTTCACATGCGGTTTGTCATGGTGGCGGCTGGCAGTTTCTCTGCCTTCCTGTTCTCTCAATTTTCCTCTCTGTTAGTCCTGTCTATACTTCCTGACTGGCCATTGGCCAATCAGTGTTTTATTTATTGACCAATCAGAGCAACAGATTTGACACACAGACCATCTCACAGCAGGCAGGATTTAATGCCCAGCATGGTAACATCTAAAAACAAGTAGTTAAAATCTAAAAGCAGCCACACAGCAGCAATTTTCTATTATTATACCAAATGTGTATTCACACAGAAAAGACTGATGCATTTGAGTTGTGTGCAATTTTTTTGTTTTCTTTTAATGCTTTTTAAAATTTCACAGGAGGCAGCTATTATGCTTTTGTACAATTAATGCATACTTTTAAATAATATTAGCATTCTGCTGCCTTCTTTAACGAGAAATGCTCAGAGAAAATCTTCACAAAACAATACTCTACGGTATACACTGAAATGAATTTGGGAAAGCATTAAATGCTAATTGGATACCAAGATGAATGAATTTAACAGTGTTTAGGGTCTGCATCAAATTCAGACTCTTGGGTGTGTAAGTAGGAGGATCAGAAATGTAAGGTCATCCTTGGCTGCACAGTGAGTTTGGTGCCAGCCTGCAGTATGGGAGACCCTACCTCAAAACAAAAACAAGCAGCCATCAACAGGGCGACATAAGGTCTTACAAACCTTGTGTGCTTGTAAAAACCTTGTGACATTTCCTTACAAACAACGAAGACTTCTTTATAAATTAACCCACCTAAGTGCACCAAACCTTGTCCAACAGTGCCATATCAGAGCCCAGAAGGGACAATACCAACAATTTCTATTTGGACAGGCATATTTCTAGCTGGACACTGTGCTCAATGCAAGTTAATAATCTGTTCCCATGTGTAAATATTTTTTATGTGAATACTGAAAAGTTCCCAAATGTCCTGAGACAGAGTTTTCAGTGTTCTTTTGGTGACTTTCATGTTGTAACCTATCTGTCCTCAGAACAAGGATCAGCTTTCAGGGGCTGGAAAGATGCACCCACATGGTGCCCATAAACACCCTCTGGTCCCCCCCCTCTCTCACACACACACAAATAATAAACATTTTGAAAAAAAATTCTAATTTTTCTAAGATGGCTCAGCACTTAAGGACCTGGATCTTATTCTCAGCTCACAAGTGGTGGCTAAAAATTGCCTGCAGCTCCAGCTTCAGGCAACACAACACCCTCTTCTGGTCTCTGTGGGCACCAGGCATGCAGGCAAAACACTCATACACATAAAATAAAAACAAATGAATTTTGTTTTAAAAAGTCAATCTTCTGGCAATCCAGCTGTAATGGTTTAAATGTGAAATGACCTTCACAGGCCCATGTGTTTGAACACCCAACCTCAGCTACTGACACCATCTGGGAGAGGGTCCAGTATTTGACACAGGCCACTAAGGGTAGCCCCTGGAAGGTGACATCTGCTTCCGCTTTCACACAAACTCTCTTCCTGAACTGACAAGATGTGAACAAGTTATTCTGTGAGCTCTCGCCCACAGATGACGGAGCTGCTGCAGCCACTGTGCCCTGCCATGACAGCCATGAAACTGTGAGTCAAGGCAACCTGCTTCCCTTAGGTCGTTCCTGCCAAGAATGCTACTGCATGGCAAGCAGAATAACTAATACACCAAATCCACAGATGCTTGGGGTTTGCCTACAGTATTTCCTGGTTCTGTTGTTTGAGTTATGGATTTTGGAGGAAATGCCAACCTCTAAAATTAGAGAAGCAGATTTATTTAGTTAGTGATTTTGGAGAATAAGCCGGGCCCTTGGCCTTATTCATGCTACGAATGTGTTCGTGTGTGTGTGTGTGTGTGTGTGTGTGTGTGTGTGTGTGTGTGTGTTTGTATTTACACATGTATTTAATCTTATTAGTATTAGGTGCATGAACATGCTTCAGGTGTGGGACAACTTTGTGGAGTGGCCTCTTTCCATTCACGTTTACATGTTTGGGAAGGGGGATCAAGCTCAGGTAGGAGGTTTCAGAAGCAAACACCTCCCTATTCTCCACAGGGAGCTCTTGACACGGAGGAATAGAAAGCAAAAGCTCACTCTCCACTGATGGCATGAACAGAAAAGTAAAGAAAACGGCACAGGCCACAATTCTGAGGCCACACTAGTCAGTAAAATGTCCCCAGCTGTCCAGACCCATTCTAAAAGGACCCTTTTCCTTCTGCTAAACTCCCTGGACAGGACGATCAAGGCAATGTGAATACAGACGTAGTTGAGGAGGTATAGCCAGTCAGCCCTGAAATTTGAATTTTCCAGTCCACATATGGAAAAAGGAGATTGGAACCAGGTCTACTGGGAGCCTGCAGGTTGTTAAGAAATAAGTGTCCTGCATGTTAAAGTTGAACAAAGACTGTGATCCGGTAATACAAAAAACAATCTACTTCCTCATAAAAAGAATATGCTGAAAACTGAAAAGGGGAGAATTTCTCATTAAAAAGAGGAGAGTGTGAAATGAAAAGTGACTGGTCAGATAAACAACAGAACCGAATTCCAGAGAAGTGGCCATTTCCTAACACCAACAACTGAAGAAGATGTTGGGGGACAGCTGGCTTCAGCAGTCCCTTGGGAAAGCAAGGGGTAATGTTGAGGTTTCCAACATTCATTTCTGTGATTCTGAAAATTAATTTCTGTAGTTAATTTTCAGTGGCATCATACTCGAGGCCAACCTTGGTCCCAGAGAAATGCCAAAGCACTGGCCTTGAAGTTCACAAAGAGATGTTTGGTAAACTGACTGAAGAAGCAGAGAACTCTAGAGAGGTTCCGATTTCATTTCCAGAACTTTCTCCTAGGTGTATATCTTATTTTTCTGTTTGGGAATGTTTTCTCCCCTGTTTGCAGGGGCCTTTGTTTTGCTTGATAAGGAAGGCTCCTTTTCAACACCTCCCCTTTCTGTCGATTCCACGGGCAGATGACCAGTGGGCTAACTTGACCGTCACAGGGATATCCTGCCCCATCTGCAAAGCTTCTAGACAGAGAAAAGCTGCTGGGGAGTGTCTAGGATTGAATACTGCGACACTCGCCACCCGAGTGCCCAGACACTTCCGCTCAAACACCCTCAGCAGACAGACCTGAAACCCAGACAGAGCAGAAGAGATGTCACTTTATTTCCCTGTGTGAGACTCATGAACTTCCTGGTGACTAGAGAACTGTTTCTAAGACAACCTGGGCTAACGAAAGTCTTTGAAGGAAAATCAAAGAAAGGGTGAAGGATGTTGAAGAGGAGAAATCAGAGACCAAAAGAACTCAACAGTTTCTATTGCCTAAGCTTGAACTGGGCACTTGAGGAACAATTCCTTGGAGTGAATTCAACTCCTGAGCATGTTCTTGGGACCAATGTCTAATCGCTGTGGTTGGTTGCCACAGTTTTTCCCACTCCCATGACATTCTAGATGCTAACCTTATCTTCTTGTGGAGGCCCACATAGGTTTCCTAGTGAGATCTGAGCTTGCTTTACCCAGCCGAGCTGCATTAGAAGATTACTTGACCACGTGCATGGTTTCCAAGGTGATTGGAAGGGTCTATACTTGGCTGGAGGTCTTTTGCTCCACCCCTTGGCATTGCTATACACAACCCCTTAGAAGAGATAGAAGGGGCCGGTGGATAAGGATCCAGGCCCTCCCGAGGCTATCCTGTGTTTCTATCTGTTTCTCTCCCCTCTATCCTTTTATTTAAGTCTCTTGTCCTTCACTTCTCAAGAGTACCCCGGGGAAAATGTGGGAGCTGGTCTCCCAGCGGGCCGCCCACATCTTCTTAGGCAAGAAAGTGTGAAGACAAGCTGTGAACAAGGTGGGTGACATTTGTGCCCTCCCGACATTGCAGTATACTGGGATGGCCGAGGTGGCTGGCCTGCCATTCATTTTTTGACTCTTGCGAGGCAGAACTCTCCCTAGCTTTTGAACAGCGTATCATGTTAAGTCATGTGACTCTTTAGAGTCTTGTTTATTATGTGCCGTCTCTGGCATTCCTGAGGACTGATGTCATAACATGACTGCCACACTCGAGGCCTCCACCAAGATGGACAAGCACATGGGAAGGGGTGGGACCATGGACTCTGGTTCCTGTTAGCTCTGCAACTTTCTCATCCACTCGCCAAAGTGGCACGCAGTGCTCAGGTGGTCCCGGCTCAATTAGTTAAGAGAGAAAACTTTGATGAGTACCTTTGAAGCTTCCCTGCGATGATTCTGCCGTGAAGAACCTTCATGTCATTTGCCAAATTCACCTTCTCCAGCTGATGGCGGCTGGCCCTCAGCACCTGTGATGGAGGACAAAGGTGTTATCAACTGTATTTTTGTCAGCAATTTCTCTCATCTCTCAGATGATCGCCCTTTCACAGCCTCAAAAGGAAGAGTATCATTAGGCATAATCTTCTGACAACCCACATTAATTCTTTGAAGCATACCGGGTAATTCAGGCCTCTTTTAGAAGCTTCCACTCTGCCTTTTCTTTAAGGGAATGGCTTCCCATTCGTACCATTTCATATTATTCTTTGCTTGGATATCATAGCTCCAATAAAGGAGAGTTTCCCTTTTTAAAGATTTACAGTGTGTCCCACATTTAAATGTTGAGGGACATTTAATTTCAGGTTGTGGGATTTATTTTTAAGGGAAATGTGCTGAATCATAGAATCTTCCCAAAGCTGTTATTTGATGAGTAGCAAAGGAAGCCTTTACAAGAGGTTCAGTTTGTTTGTTCTGCATTTCCAACAGGTGAAAATGTGTCCAAAGCAAATGTCGACACTTCACATTAGAAGCAGCCATCATTCCAATACCTCATTTCATGAAGCCTCTCATATCACATTTTAACATGTACATGGTCCAGGTAAATGTACAATGTGTAAGTCAGACAAGGAAATACTAGGCTAGAATAGGAAAATGACATACCATTTAACAATTCAATATTTCCATTGCCTTTAAATTCTTTCTCTTTCTCATGAAAACGACAATGTTTAAGAGAGATTTTATGGAAAGCTTGAAGCTTTCTTACCTCTACATGCGTGAGGGCAACTGTATATTGATCTACACAGAGGAACCCCCAGAGGCCATGGGTGCAGATTGCTTGCAGACCTGTGATCTCTTGTTCTGGACTGGCTTTGGAGTTCACATTAAATGTGGGCAGTTCCGGGCTCCGCCCTTAGTGGACATCCCATCTATGCCCGCGGTAGGGCCTCTGGTGCTGGCATGTTGCTGTGCCACTTTCTTCTTGCTACCCCGCCCTTATCAAGTCTCTTCTCCTTCAGAGAATGGCTGAACTCCTTCTGTACTCTCTGATCTGGTACACCCATGTGTTACTTAGATGACCCTCTTTTGCTTCTCATCCTGGAAGGTGGTGAGTTCTAGAACTTTCACATATATGATAACAAACTCTATGTATGTACATTTGAGGAGAACATAGAAATGCTTACACCTTTAATTCTTCATGAGAAAGGCACAGGCAAAGGACTGGGTGTATCATGGCTCAGTGGATGAGTGTGTGTGTGTGTATGAGTAAGGCCCTAGGCTCAATCTCCAGCTTACCTAACAAAAGCATTCTGCATTTGACTGTGATGCAGGATGATCTGGCTGTGGTCAGACTGGCATAGTCTAACATCAAGGTAACACTACAAGTTTCTTGACACTGCTCTGGACATGTCTCTGGGGGCAGATGGTGGAATTTCAGGTGACAGCATTCACTGGTTATGTGACCTTAAGTGCACTACTTAGCCTCTACCTCAGTACACGCTTTTGAAGAACAGGGGTTAAAAGTGTGAGCACTCCCTGGGTCTAAAATGTGAGGATTACAACCTCTTGAAAAACCATGAAGAGTTTATCCCACAAAATATTATTACTTGGGCTACTTTGAACAATTAATTCTAGGTTGCAAAGAGAATTTATTTTTCCACACTTGTTTATACCTTGTTTAACCTTTGTCCATGGTGAGCAAAAACTTGAGCAAGTGTTTTTCTAATACCATATCAGTATAACTTTTATTTCTTATGCCTAAATGATAACTTAGCGATTTGTTACAGGCAGTTGGAAAAAGAATGATAGCCTGAATCCATGCCTGCTACATGTACACCCAGAATCAAACACCTGCCCCTCCACTGTAGGAAGACTACCACGGTTCTCAGATACATAATCTACACCAGGAAATGCATGGCACAGATCTTTTTCCAGGTATGCCAAATCCATAACTGTTACTGTAATTAGGCACAACACTAAATACACAACAGAAATTCATTAAGCTATTTTTGGGGTCTGGAGGGATGGATTACAGATTAAGAAGAACTGCCCATTTCAGAGGACCCAGGTTCAGTTTCTAGCACCCACATGGTGGCTCACAACCATCTGTAACTGCAAGTCCAGGGAGATGATACCCTCTTCTGACTTTTGTGGGCTTCAGCATGCAAACGGACAGATATTTAGAGGCAGACAAAACACTCACACACATAAAGTAAAATTAATATTAAAATTAATTTTTGAAACTTTGTTAATGAATTCCTGATAAAAAATTTATTTTGTAGACATTAAATCAGCACCACCAGGTAACTAGAATAAGTATTATTTGTTATTGTTAGTTTATGGTTATTAATATTTAACTAGTTACTTTAAATTTCAATGATATTTATATGCAATGAGTTGGCTAACCATATCTGTAGATTCTGTACCCTCAATCAACCAAGGATCAAAAATGTTTGAAAAATGAATTTTCTGTGTACATAATATACACAGACTATCTTTATGGTCATTTATTCCCTAGATAATTAGTTATTAGATATTATTAGATAGATTGTATTAGACAGATATAACAGCTATTTACATAGCATCTACATTGGATTTGTGTTACAATCTAGTAATTTAAGGTGTACAGAAACATACGTATATATTACCTATGAACACTATGCAAACTCTTTTATATGAGGGACTTGAGGATTCAGACTGACAGTCATAGTGTGTGTGTGTTTCCCAGAACCACACACCAGGGATAGATGCCCAAGGAATAACTGTATAGTTACATACGTAGAAACATCTACCTAGCTTTGCTAGGATATATGCCGGGAGCACTTTGTTCTTCTTTGTTCTTATATTTTAGTTTCGTATTTTCTTCCCGTTTTCATTCACTCTTTGTTTTTGCTTGTTTTAAAGATAGAGTTGTACTGTGCAGCCCTGGTTGTCCTGGAACTTGCTATGTGGACCATACAGACCTTGAACTTGAGGCAATCCTCCTGCCTCTGCTTCCAGAGTGCTGAGATTACAGCATGAGCCACCATGCACAGTTAGTTTATGTTTTGTTGACAGGTTTTGAGACAGAGTCTCAGCCTGTAGCTCAAGCTGGCCATAACTCAGTGTGTAAACCAGGTTGGACCTGAACTCTCGTCAGCCCTCTGGCCTTAGTTGCCTCAGTGCTGAGATTATGGACATGAACGGCCTGCACCCCAGCTTTGATCTCTTTCTCGGATAGCATAAACCAAGGCCCAAGTCCAGTTAGTTGTTCAGGTAGTGTGTGACTAAAGAGCCCCTCAGCCCCACTTCCTCAGGCTGTTCCACTGCTGTGATACGACACCATGACCAAGACAACTCATTAAAGGAAACCTTTGTTAGTTTACAGTCTCAGAGTTCGAGTCCCTGATGGTGGAGCAAAGGTGTGGCAGCAGCAACAGCTAAGAACCCTCATCCTGGTCCACAGGAAGGAGGCAACATTGTCCCTGGTGGCACTCCTGAGCCATCTCTCCAAGCCTCCTCTGACAAGGCCACACCTCCAAACAGTTCTATAAACTGGGCAGTAAGTACTCAAACACAGGAACCTATAGGGGCCATTCATTCAAACCACCGCGGCATCTTCGCCCAGGTTTTATGCCTGCTATTCCCGGCCTAGAAATGTCTGCTTTTCTCTGCTCCGCATGTTAGCATTGTAAGTCTCCCCTTGCATCAGCACCCGTCCCATTTTTTTACAGCCCCAGTTTACACTGGTTGCTCTCAGTACTGTTAGCTGAGATGCAATATAGCACCCACTGTGCCGTCTGTTATTGTCACTGTGGCCTCTGATGGTCTTGTCTCTCCCGCCAGGTTTGAAGACTATTCATGAAAGGCTATGTCATAGGCTTCGTCTTCATCTTCTCCTCTTGCCACAGTGTAGCTCTGGTAACTGCCAGGCAGTAACTGACTGTCACCATAAAATGCAGCCAGGCAGGCAGGATCTGAATTGCATATTGATCCTTGGTTTGTCTTAGGGTTTGTTCAGATTTGATTTGAAAGATATCTAATTTTAATGGTATTAAGAACTATAAAAGTAGTGGCTGGAGAGATGGCTCAGTAGGTAAGAGCACTGGCTGCTTTTCCAGAGGACCTGGGTTCAATTCCCAGCACCCACACAGTGGCTCACAATTCTATCATTGTAGTTCCAGGGGATCCACTGTTCTTTCTCGGGCTTCATCATCACCACGCACAGATGGTACATGTAAATACATGCAGGCAAAAACCTCATACACATAAAACAGAGACAACCCCATCTTTGGAAAAGATATAAAATTAAGAATGAATTCTTGGCCCACAGTGAAACTAGACCAGGAGGTGGGTAATCTTACTCTGAGTCATTTGCCCCTTTCTCTTTCCCAAGCTAGACAATTTCTGTAAGCAGGAACTTGGCACAAGACTCAGAAGTGTTGTATGAGGCGTGTGTGTGTGTGTGTGTGTGTGTGTGTGTGTGTGTGTGTGTGTGTGTGTTTTCCTGTTCCTAGGATGAGGAGATAAGGAGAGATTGGAAGACCTCTGAAATCTTGGTCCCAAAGTCTGTAAGATTGAGCACATAAGCTTGTTCATTAGAAGTTGCCATCTACCCACAAGAGCGGGACTTTCACCTGTTGGTAATCTTCAGGGAAGTAGAACTCCGTTTCCTAGCCGTACCTGCCAAGCTTGGGTCAGCTTTTTGTGTTACCATGATTCTGCGTTTGGTGTTTATGAGTCCCTGCTGAAGACCTAGCTGAATGAACCCTGCTCTTTTCTTGCCCCATGTCTCAGATGTTCAGAAACAGAGCTGCATTTCCTGGCTTTCCAACGTCACCAAGTCATCAGGTTTTGCTGCAGAGGAATGCCATTAAAACCTTGGCCTTGTTGGAAAACATTAGCACTGTTCATGATTAGTAAAATGTTGTGATGGTGACAGATTTTTTTTTTTAAACTGTGTCTTGGAAGTATTTTTCTCTGCACACTGCACAGACACAATCAGAAACATGAATAGGGCAGCCTGGAGAGATGGCTCAGTGGTTAAGAGCACTGG